GTTGTCAACCAAGCACCAGTGCGTCTACTCCATAACCATGTTTTATGTCTTGAAGTTTCAGGCTGGTAGGGTTTATTTCTTGTTTTCAGTTTTACAATCGAATTCAAGCCTAACCTAGAATTCTAATTTAAGCGGTATGTCTCAATATTTGTCTTTCTTGTACAGTATGTAGGCCATGCAAAAAAAGAGCAGTAGTCAGACTATAAACTTTCTTGCCGCTGCCCCAATTTCCCATTTTTATCTCACAGCAATATCAATACTTTCAGCACCCTATTGAGTTTGGGGGGGATTTCGGGGGATATTTAACTGATTCCACCTGTGCATGGTGCAAATAAAAAGTCCAAATGTAGTGGGTGATCAATATTCCTGCAGCCAGAGAATTAACTTTGCGAAGAGACTATTTATACATAATCACCTTAGCAGTGCTTTGTGGGCCTCACGTATGAGATCATGCTTTGAGCATGACATATGTGTCAAGGTAAGTAAGGCAACACAGAGGTACATGTCCTCTCCATGGGAGCACATGGTGCAGCTGTGACTGTCAGCACGTCTTTGGGGACGCTGCATTATTTACACTGTGTCTTCCTGTGACCCCGATGAGACATGACAGGAGCTACAGGAAGCTCATAAATTAAACAGAGGGGCCCTAAAAGCACAAGAGGGGGAAGGTACCGGGTGATGGTAAAGCCCTGGCAGAGACAGCAGAGAAGCGGGACTGCGGATTGCGACACGCATATCGCACGGCCTGAGGGGAGCTAAGGCAGGAAGGAGGGGATGGAGGGACAGGAGGAAGATGAGAGGGATGTGAAAAAGAAAAGCTTTTGGAAAATAGAGAGTCAGAGGATGTAAGAGAAAGGAGTGGAGGGTCGGCGGGGGGGGATTAAGACATGCAGTAAAGCAACATACTGTAACACACTCTCGCTGCAATGCTATTCGGAGGCCACAATGAGGGAGACGGGGGGGAGTAATGGGCCCACCGGCAACAGCAGCCTTAATTTAGCCGGAGAGACATTAATCCCTTCCTGATGCACATAAAACACAGCAGCAAAGATGATGTCATACATTGAGCGGACAGTCAGCGGGGAGTGCGCTGTCTCAGCTGTTGCTCAAATTGGCCTGGCCACGAGCGGCCTCTGGTGTCATCCGGCATGCTCAGACGGGATGGATGGGATAACCTCATTCAGACACTTATGCACTCATGCAGCAAACCAGCATGCAAAAGCTGAAGCCCATAAAAAAAGGGGGCGGGGGGAAGCACATGCATCGTTTGAGTGAAGTAATACAATTTGACTAATGGGTATTGAGGTCACATGGAATTTGATGGATGCTGACTTTTCCCCCACTTTGTGTAGACACACCAGTGGGCTTTAATGTGGAGGTTTTGCAAATGCGTGTCTATCTATCAGGCTAAATGTTTCCAAGCACATGATGCCCATTCATATCATACATTGTCCATTTGCTTGGCAGATTTCTTTGTATCGGGTTAACAAAGTACAAAGGTAAACAGTCATGGCAAGCAAGATGTAGTTAGAGAAGCAACACAATTGCTTCTAATGTCCACCGGATTCATTGGCCCTTGGAGAGCGTCTTTACTTCACATCACTGATGGCAGATGAGGAACTGCCCAGACCAACCGGGGTGAGATCATCCAGTCATGCAGCTAAAGCATGCGGGCACTGAGCCACACAGCACATTTTCATATCGAGGAAAGACCTCATCCCCGACTTTCCACTCATATGATCAGGATTTTTTTCCCCCCCTTCAAATATTGATCCATAGGTCAGGCAAATTGAGATTGTCTTATAAAATGGGAATTTGTGAGCATTATAGATCTGAAAGTTAATTAGGCTCATCAGCTTGAATGGTAAACTATTACTCCAACCCTTTGAAGCTGAGCAGAGTTTGTCTTATCGATGTTGTCCATTAGTTGTAATTGTAGTCGCTCTTTGGAGTATCACTTGTCCATCTACATGGACTACTTGTAGTGCGCTTCGTCCCCCTCTGGAGCCCATCTGGACAAGACTCATTCCGAGCAGTATGACAAAGAAGCACAAATGTGTAAACGCAGACCCAAACTTGATGTTGCCAAATATAATTACATGTTCGCAGTCGCAGTGACAACATACAAACTGCATACAAGATACCGGTCTATTATTCAGTCCTTATGAAACAGTTAAGCAATTTTTTTTTTTTTTGCTAAACTAACGATTTAGCTAGTTTGAGTGTGAGGAAGGAGAGGTGACATGTAATATAATTTTGGTGTCATTCATTATTTCGCCATCAAACGCCAGTGCAACTGTACACTTTGTCTTTATCAGCAAGAACAGAAACCACAATGACATTTAGATGCCTTTGTAAATGTTGCAAAATGAAACAATGAATAATGCTGAAAATGGGAAGCAACAAAAATGAATGCAGAACCTCCAAATACGAATGCCTCTAAAGTCATGCGTTTGAACTTCGGCCGTCACTAGTGGGGAACAAGACACCCCGAGAGCCTTGGAGGTCAAATGTCATCCTGCATGGCATCATGTGAGTCTTTTTTAAGGGTTTTGTGACCCAATAGAAACTGCCTGAGGGTTTTGTTTTGGGCAAAGCTTCTGCGGTACAGAACATTTCCACGGAGTGATTACTGGCAGCCTCGAGCGCCAAGTCACTCTCCTTTGACAGCGTTACGCTTGGACAGAGCCGCCACCATCGCTCTCTGAGTGTGACTGAGCAGGACATGTGCTTGGTCAATACCCCACCCCCAACTACAACACCGCTACTTTGCCCATATGTGCACTCAAGTGGCAGCTGCAAACTTCCTCACTTGCCCCCATGAAAAAAAGAATACGGAAACTCCCTATTCATTCAATCATAGAATCCCATTTAACCCCGAAATAATCTATATTATATGATGTATGTCTGCTGTATATATTAGAGGATTACTTAATATGGTGTGTCCCGTTTGAACAATCCCATATGACATATTAAACTTTAACCACCTGCGTGACGTTGTATAGTGCCTATAGTGCATGGCATTTGGCATAAATCGTCATCATTTCATAAATCCCATGTTGGTAAAGAACACCCCGAATCCCAAGGACCTTTGCTCACACCATTCATGCGTTCGTCACTCGCTGCCTTTTATAAAACTTTTATGTCAATGCTGTGAATTATTCACTCACAGTCCTGATGTGACCATACGTATCCTTGGATTGCTGTGCGAGACCCAGAGACCCAACACAGATTTACACACACAGCAGCATGTGTCTGAATATGAGACAAGATATGGATAGTGAGTTGACACACACTATCCATCCATTTTCTAATCCGCGTATCCTCACAAGGGTCGCGGGGCGTGCTGGAGTCCATCCCAGCTGTCTTCGAGCAGTAGTATGACGTAGGGGGGAAAAAATGAAAGGAATCTCAATGCAGACATACCGTATTTCAGAATGAGATTCTGCAACCAGTGGCAATCGCCACCGCTGCGACTCAAATCCATCCTCCAGGATGACCTTGTTCACCCTCAGAGTTGATGTTTATCTGAGACTACCTCGGGGATTTGGGAATAGAAAAAAATACCACCCAACAAGCCTGACCTCAACCCGACGGCATGGAATAAGCTCAGGCATGCTATTTGTGCTAGGATGAGCAACACAACCACATTGGCTGACTTACTATGACTCCTGATCGAGGACCGAGAGGAATGTGATGCCACAGCTGTGGGTAACCAGGTTGGTGACCAGCATGAGGAGGAGGCGCCCCTTTGCTGCGGCTGCGTCTGGTTCTTCCGTGCACTACGAGGTACCTGACTGTTAAAAGAATCAACAGTAAAATGGCCTACATGTTCTAAATCTTCAAGCATCCAGTCCACCAAACAACACTAAACAAGAGTCAAAAAGCTTTAAAAAAATTATAGTTGATTTTTTTTTTGTTGTTCACGGTTTGGGTATGAAAAAGTCACAGTATCCGGGCCAAACATGATATTTTTCATGTTTTCATTCTCATGTCAAGCTCACCCTTGTAGATTCTTAGCTCAGTCAGGGGAAACCAATTATCCGCATCCTGTCCAAAATCTTATTACCCTCGGTTTGAGAATCCACAGCACACTGTCACATTCAGACAGAAGATGGTGACTAACAGGCCAAGCAGCAGTAAGGCCTGAGGTCCGTAGAAATGCTGGAGTTTGTTTGTTTGTATGTTTGAAAGTCACTATTGTGCCCCATGTAAGGAGAAGGGGGGAGAGTACGTCATTCCCTGGAAAAAAACAAAAACAGCAGCTCTCTGAATGACCCATGAGGACGCAGGGCTATTTCACAATCATGCCCAGCCACCTTTGTCACATCACATTTGGAGCCATTGCTCAAAAACTGGGTTCACATATTGACATTGACGTTAACTCAGAGAGCACTGCAAATCAAAATATAGGACAGATTTTTTGGGCTTCTGTTTAGATGTGGCAATCTCTCAGTGGCGGTGTCACAAAGTAAGAATCAGGGCAATGTGGAAAATATTAGTTATTCGAATTACATCTTGACAATTCTAAACATTTTTGAACTTAGGTTTGTTCCTGTTTGTAATATGTTTGTGTGTGTGTGTGTGTGTGTGTGTGTGTGTGTGTGTGTGTGTGTGTGTGTGTGTGTGTGTGTGTGTGTGTGTGTGTGCACTTTATTTCATGAAACCCTGACTGTGGAACCATGATAAAGAATGACTCAAGTACGGCCACCCTTCACTGCGCTTTCTTGTCACACTGGCCACCCCACTGAAATTTTTCTGACGACACCCTTCATACTATTTTTCACATCAACTATATTGTTCTGATATTAAATATTAAATCGTGAGTACAAACATCTTACATTTTGCTGTATTGTTGATATGCCTTGAGCCCGTCCATTTATTTCCAATCAATTCATTCAAATGTACCCCCCCCCAGAGAAAAGTGGTTCAGCCCCGTCAGTGATTGCAGATGGCATGGATTTTAATGGAGCTGTGTCGATCTGTGCTCGCTTGGTATAGTCTGCTCAGTGTCTGGAGGAGAGTGGGCGAGGAAGGAGAGGGCGAGCGAGCGAGCAAGCAAGCAAGCAAGCCAGCAGCGGAGAAACCTGGAAATCAACGTCAACTTAGCACCCAGTACGCAAGAAATGTCGACTTTGACATAGCGATATGCACGGGGTCGCCGAACAACGCACCGCGCCGTGGGTTTAGGCGACTGGAGCGGGTCGCCTGTGGACAACATTCGCGACGACCGGACTCTGGACGCAAGAAAACAACAACAGTGGTTTAAGAAAAAGGAGCGCGAGAGAAACGAGGATTACACACACAGCAGTGACAATAAAACAACACAACTCTCGTGCCGAAGGTGAGGTCCGAGCACAGAAGCAACAATGAGACTTGATATTCTGTTTGGAGCGTTCAACATGTGCTTTCCCGGTGTGAACTCTCATCTCAGGACACAATGAAGACGTAGCGAGGCAAGAAGTCATCAAGTGTCTCGGACCTGCTAGCCATCCAGCTTGAGAGCGAATGCGAGGTAAAGCTAACGCGTGCTAGTGCAAGCCCATAAGCAGAGTTAGCTCGTGGGCTAACGCTAGCTGACAGACTCCCAACGCGTTTTGGTCAACTTTTGCTGTTGTTTCCCGGGAGCCTAAACACTGACGGAGTGTCCTAACAAAAGAGGGGAAGGGCCGGCTCCCTTCTCGACTTGTTCCCCTCTACGTATATTTTCCCGGATCGATGGCAGCGGAGGTCAGTAGTGAGGAGTCGGGCTCGGTCACGGCGGGGACAGGCGGAGGAGGCCCGGAGACGGCCCCGTTCCCTTGCTATCCCAGGTCGACCAGAGTGAGGGTGGCGGATTCAGGACCTGCGCCAGCCCTCCGTCAACTCACAAACACGTCTCCGGACTCACTCCCGGACATGAGTATGATCTATCCCATGTCAAGTGGGGATATAAGCGGATCTACCCTGTCCACGGCAGGGAGTGGCGGAGGTGGACATTCAGTTTTAACGAGCTCAGGGAACGTGGGCGGCATGTGCGGCTCTCCCACTTCAGAAGCGCCGGCCTGTCGGATTTCACCCACATCGTCAGCCCCGGACGGGGTGACCGACTTCCCCCCGCTACCGCCTCCTCCACCTCCCCCTCCTCTCCCTTCAGGTTGTGGCGGCACGATGGATGAAAACGACCTGCAAGATGGACCGGAATACGAGGAGGAAGAGGTGGTGTTCCCCCTCTCTGCACCGCCCACAAACCAGTGAGTACAATAACAGTGACGACCAAGCTTTGACCTGTGATGCATGCAAATACTACAGTTTTGCTTTGCAAAAATAGGGTGGAAACATTTGCAGGATTTTCAAAGTTGGAACCATAACATGGGAACCCATGGTCTTGGGAACAAACCAGGCTTTTATGTGCTTGTGGATATCCTCTGGGCATTGAATGGCTCATAACTGTACTGCTCTGTTTTGTCTTAGACAACAAAGAGAGCAAGCAGACGATTTGTCAGGATTTTACAAAAATGAGCGGTGGCTCTTAAAAGGGTATTCAAATAGTGCTCACCTGTTTACTGAAGCTGAACCGTGGTTGGTTCTTACCTGATCCCTGAGCGCCTTTGATGTCATTTTCCAGTTGAAGGCAAATGACAAAATGGACGCCGCCCTGAGGTGGACAAAAACGGGTGAATTTCACAGCATAACTCATTTTCCACAAATATAACAAACCAGACACGGAGCAGACTAAACCAGTATTATTTTTTCAAATCCTGAAGTATTGTTCTGGTAACCGTTTCTTATACTCAACACTTTATCGTTAAACTCCACCATGAACTTCAGCTATGGAGATGCTATCTCTGTAAATACGTCACGCAAACTCCGGTGGTAGTAGTTACTTCATATTTGTGAAGTTACGAATTACAGCCACATTTTTTTTCTAGGAGGCAAGGTGGATTATTTGTTTTCCTGTTTCTTCAAATGGAAAATGCACCTCATATTAATCAAATTCGGAGAAAAGATTTTTTTGCATAAAAAATGTTTGTTGTCATGCAAGAATAGTCCTAGCAGTGGATTTAAATACTGAGGAGAGATTTTTAAGCCTCGACAGAAGCCATCCGAGTGTTTTGCTTTGCCCCAGAATTGTCTTAAACGGTTTTATGCTGCAGCGAGATACTTTATGTAATCTTTGCTAGCGTCATTTAGCACTGCTCAGTCTCTAAGGGATGTCATGGAAAGATGACAGCATGCAGTAAGTCATTTTGAGGATGCTTGTAATTCAAATTGCTTTACATGACCGAACTGCACTTTGCGCTTTGTTGTCATCATTGCCTGATGCGATCAATATTTTTGACATGCGTGATTCATTTCAGAGTTACTCACACCTGCAATGATGTTGGAACCGAAGCACCCCATCTCTCCTGTAGACTCAGAAATGACGCTGTAACATTCATACAGCCTTGCCATTTGTTTTATTCTCATTGGTGAAGTGCAGCACTTGGTCATTTTTGGCCCTTGTCCTATGAGATATGGAAAGCAAAGGAGTGTGGAGTGTGGATTCAGCTTTTATTTTAGATGCTGCTCTACATCTCCCTGTCGATAAGACAAGCAAGCAGGTGCCCAGTGTCAAATTGTTTTGATTGTGTTTTTTGCATTTTATAAAGTCAAGTTAATCCATACAGTACGCCCGTTTGTTCACTTATACGCTTTTCGGTGATTGTTGTCCTAGTCATTGAAGTTAGTGCGAGAGAAGTTGAATGGCACATTTTTACCACGGCCGTATACACGATGTGGGTAGATTTATCGTTAATGTTCCACTCACAACAGGCTACAGAGAATTGTTCTCTCACCGTGGACTGTACGTCTTCTCTAATTGGGAGCACCACGTCTGATATTCAATTCCTTTGACTTAGCGGCTCATGAAGCGTCTTTTCTAAGCGTAGACAGTGGAAAATATTTGCCCCGATAAAAGTGGTCTTCTCTGCATGTTGCACACTGACCGTGAAAGCTTAACTCGGCACATTGAACAGAGTTCCTCTCGTGAAAATATGAAAGAGAGCGAGTGAGAGAGCGAGCGAGACATTCATAAACACCTTCTGCAACTGACATGCCATTCATAAACTCAGTGTGTGCAATCATAATGTGACATTGATGGCGAACAAAGTTGAGCTACATATGAGTGCCTTGCTACTGCCTGGAGAAAGAGCGAGCTTAATGCCTGAGCTTAAACAAACAACTCTGGGAAATGAGTCGTGGATTTTCAAGTTTCCACGAAGATTAGAGACTGCCCTAAGTCAGAAAGGGTTTCCCAGAGTTGTTGGTCAAGGAGAAAAATGGGGGGTGGGTGATGACTTCATCGTTGTGGGTGGATGATGTGACATTTTGAGAACTATGTTTTGGGTTGGTTGACTTAAACCAAATATTGTAAGTTTGCAACACCTGTCCCATATTGTATTTGAAGCTTTGTGCTGCACATCGATGAGGAAAAAGCCGATAGTTTCCATACATTTTCATTGCATTATGCAATGTCCTGTCGTGCCCTTCCAATCCTCTCTCTGCCCTGCCTTTTCTCTCCAGCATCCTGTTTTTCAACACTTCTCAACCATTCATTGTCGCCTTAACGGGGTCCCCAATAGTTTGAGTTTCATTTGACAAGACTATGTGAAAGACCTCTAACTGATTTGGTATCACTTTTCCGTTTGGCTCAAAAGTTGTGATATAGCCACCGTCTTATAAAGTCATCCTGTTTTTCAACACTTCTCAACCATTCATTGTCGCCTTAACGGGGTCCCCAATTTTTGAGTTGCATTTGACAAGACTATGTGAAAGACCTCTCACTGATTTGGTATCACTTTTCCGTTAGGCTCAAAAGTTGTGATATAGCCACCGTCTTATAAAGTACGGATGTCCTGTTCACGTTGTTATGCACCTGATTCGGAGTCACTTGATTTTACGTATCAGTCAATCGGAGCTCAAGCCAATACATTGGCAATGCATAAAAAAAGATGTAGGGTATGTTGTTCAAATGTTTCACATTTGCTACCCTGTCGCTTTTCCATCTCTGCCGTAATGCTGTTCAGCGAGCCAGCTGTTTTGCGGCCTGCGGTCAGTGTGGCTTTGGAGACTTAGTTTGTTGTATCTTTCAGCTTGTCCTGATTGTCAACTATGTTAGGGTATGTTGTTCAAATGTTGTTCAAATGTTTCACATCGCTTTTCCATCTCTGCCATAATGCTGTTCAGCGAGCCAGCTGTTTTGCGGCCTGCGGTCCGTGTGGCTTTGGAGACTTAGTTTGTTGTATCTTTCAGCTTGTCCTGATTGTCAACTATGCAAGCGAAAACCTGCGGGAATATCTTTGTCCCTCGGAGCACAAGCTTTCTGGGCACAGATGCCGCTATGTAATGTGTTGTGAACTTGCATTTGTTTTTCATCGTTGCAATGTCCCTCTCGCTTTCGATGCTGCGAGTGTGCAGGGAAGTAGCAGCGCTACAGTGTACGGCAACATATTGACTTTGGTTAGTTATATCGACAAATACATATTTTGCAGCGTGAAACTGGCTTCAAACTTACTCAAGCACATAATTGTAAACAGATTTGAATGAGTACACACACAAAATTGCAAGCATGAAATCCAAAATATTGTAGCCTGCAGTAGATGATAGAAAAATAAAAGAAACATTTAAAGCTCAGTATGGGTATGACGAATTATCAGTAAGGATCCCCTCCGTAACTTTGATGATGAGCATGAATTACCAGAAAAGAGAGTTTTATCTTCTCCTGATCTTCCTCTGGTGCTTTGGTTCACTACCAGAGAATTTCGAAGATGCAGAATAGTGACTTGAAGTGAAACGAAAAGTGACAATACTGTTCTGTCAAGAGATTGAGTGATGTTACCAGCAATCAATCAGAGCACAATTTTCACCATGTAGCAAATGAGCTTTGTGCGTGATTGATTAAATATAGTTCACAAAAAAAAAAAAAAAAAAAAACTATAATAGAACGGGACCGCGGTCAGCGAATTGTGATATCGTGCAAATGCAACCATTTTGATTTAAACTGAATTGACTTGCTTCATGCTCTCCTTCATGCTTTGTTAAGAGCGTTTTGCTAATGACTGAAAACATGTTTTTTAAAAAACGTTTATTATGAACGCACGGTGTCCACCTCCATTTTGTTTTTTTAACATGTGATGTCCCCATGCAGGGGACGACAAAAGCCGATCAAAATTATGTCTTGATAAACCAAGAACCAACGATCGCGGATAATGAACGCCGTATGTGACCGGGCAACTGGGAACAAAGGAGTAATTCATGCTGATCAAAATTATTTCATTGTAGCGAACTTGTAAATATCCGTTTTTCATCGAAAGATAAGAAGATAAGAAAACCTTTATTTGTCTGACAATGGAGAAATTCCCCAAAGCCATTATTATCCAACCATGCTCGGAATTGGACGTTCAGGGCAAACGTTCACATACACAAGGTAATTATTCATAATTTACTCAAAACTATTTTTTTGGGTGGTGGTTATAGCTCCCGGGAAGAGAAAAGAGAACGATGACATAAGCGGTTTTCATCAACAAGCCGTTCATTCAGACTTAAGTATGTGGTCAGCAGTCTGGTTATTGCTACCCTTGTCCTTTTAATTGTTCTCTTTCGATGTTTGGCGCAAGGCTGGGGCCGCGCTCAATATTCATTACTGTCTTAAGACCCACGCGCGTCACTGGAGGATGATGAGTATCATACAGATGTCTTGAGAGCAAAAATTGCCACTCCCCACCCTTTCTGTCCCACTGAGTCAGAAACCAATCGGCGGCACGCTCGTGGTTTTTTATGAGAGGGAGAAAGGGAAGAGAAGTCAGCAGCAAGTCAGAGGAGGATAAGTGAGAGCACCAACTGCAGGGTTGCACTGAACTTCACTTTCCTTCCGAAGAACTATTCAACCCGTTGATGCTGCTGAAGGATAACAGACATCGTTAGTCAAAAATAAATGCACGAGCGGCGTTCGTCTGAGTCTCGGCTCCTTCGTCCTATTTCCGTGGATGGTGGCGGGGTCGGGTGGTGGGGGGGCGAATGCATCAAGGCGACAGCGGCATCGCATCATCATGGCTTATTTGGATTTCAAGCTGCCTGGGCTCAGCTTCCCACGTCAAAGCTCACAGTTGGCCATGCGGTAGCCGCATCAGCGGAGCGGGTACAGCTTGCGAGACGGCGGGACACAGTGGAGGGAGATGCAGCAGAGGGTGAACTCGTCGTAAGTGGGGCGTCCATTAAATCAACACCCCTCGGACCTCAATTCCCAAGCAGCTGCCTGACGGTGCCTGCTGATTTGGTCCAGATTCAAATTTGACGATTAAAATGTGGTTAAAATGATACATGAATGGGTATGCACTGCATTCGATTCGCTCAGCCTACTATATGATTGTGCAATATTCAAATGGAATTCCTCAGTTCATAAGACAATTTGTGTTAAAATTCTGATTTAAGGTTTTTGTTTTTTGTTTTTTGTTTATTTTGCCCTTCCCTCCTCCCCGTGTGAGTTTTGGCAGCTCCAGTGAGGCAACGTTAATTTCAAACGATGCGATCCCATTTTGCTGTTAATGAGGTCTGTGTCAGCGCCGTTGGAGTGGAATTGGGCATTGGGTTTCCTACTGATCTCAAATCATTAAAACTGCCTGAGTTTGCCGCAGCATTGGTTTCTTTTTTTCCATTTATTGACGATTAGGGGGTTGCAGAGAACTTGTCGGTAATCCCTGGAATACCCGTTAATGAGTGGTGTGCAGATTTAATACGCGCGCAGTGCAAATTGCCTTTTGTATTGGGATACATTCATTCCATTGCTTAGAAGACAATGAAGTGGCATGTGACCAAAAGTGGCCCAGGTTTTCTTAATTGATTTCTAAAATAGACATATACTTAAAGGATTGAAAATGTGAGACACAGTTGGGTATTTTCGAGGTCCAGTCTACCTGAAAACAATATTTTTCACAAATCATGATTATTAATTCATTTTGAGCTCCAATGAGAGACCGCATTTTGTGTCCCGAAACCTTGAGGTCGTAAAACTTGCTCAACCTGGGCCAAGGCTCTTATTATTTAGACATATTCAGTTTCAAAAAACTTGAGTGATACTGTACTTGACAGCTGACAGTCAGTCCAACTTGCTCACAGGAAGCGCTAAAATTATCTTCCTTTTCATCTTGCCTCATGATAACATGACACTGTGGGCCACTCCGCATATTTTGCTGTGACTGTCCTGTGGTGACTTGATGTTGGGGGGGGGGGTGGGGGTTGTCTTTTTTTAGTCTGACGGTATTGTTGAAAAGGTCCTTATTGGGCTTTTGTTATGTGAGCGAGGGAACATGCAGAATGTTAGTTAGTACCTTCCCTTGAGTGTGGTGTCAGTCATGTAAGAGAAACAGGATGTCACTGTGTTGCTCGCTGTTCATGTTCAGACATGACGGGGCATTCCTCGAGTTGATAGAAGCGCCTTTTTCTATAAGCACCGCCATGGCTGATGCTTCAGTGTGTTGCTGGCTGATCAGATGAGATGGAGTTTGGAAGTGTAGTAAAAATATATAGACACCACTTATTTCGGCTAATTCATCACAGTCTCACAAATATTGCACACATGCAGTGCATACTGGACGGCTCACTTCTTGACTTGACTGCGTCGGGTTAAGATTGAAGCACATGAACATTTCTCTGGATGGTTTTGAGCTCCCGTGTCCATGTCAATATCCCTTTGAGCTGAATCAGGATGTGCCGAGGAGTTGTGGCATCGCCCGAGTCAATGAATGGGGGGTGTCATTGCCAACAGCCTCTCAAATAACCACTCGTGTTTATTTCACGCCCCTTTCCTTCTTTTTGTGTTATTAGAATATCACCAGGTGTGCAGGTGTGAGTTGTAGACTAATTTGTTCACGATTGTTCAGTTCACCCTCATACGGCCATGTTGCTCCGCGTGCAGCGGGAGACGCACAGATGATGTCATCGACAAAAAACATACATATCCTATGCTACAGTTACAGACAGCAACTAAGCTCGTGCAGATTTTATTTTTGGTATTATTATTATTATTATTATTACATTCAGCAGGACATTTTGAACGGAGTCATTTTTGTTAAGTGGGCAGTATTTGTTGGTTTCTACATCGCGATGCAATTCTACCATTAAATGGGTCTCTCATGTAGACTGTATAATTTGTCTTTTTTAGATTGCGATATGTATAATTAATAGCGGGCAGTTTGCGCACGATTCCGGGATGGCAAGTGCTTAAACCTTCGATTTGGAGCCAAACTACTTTAGCTTGTAAAATGATGTGCTGAGCTATGCTTTCTGACACTTTCTTTTTGTCTTTCCCTCTTCACTCGTATATCCTTCTTCAGCATTATTTCCCACCCTTGTCCTGGCTCCTTGCTGCGGCTTGGCCCAGCTCTGCAGCTGCACTCAATCTCCCTCTTCAATACTCTTATCGCACAAATCCGTCCAAAGCCCCCCCTCGCAGACACTTCACTTTCCTGCTCCTGGCTTCCTCTCTGCGAGCTCTCCTTGGTAGCAGGTTTCATCACGCTTTCTTCTTTCCGAAAAGAGACTCGCTAGTTCATAACTCCACGGCAGGCTTTTTAGCTCTCTTGTTACAAGAAGTACTGCAGCCCCCCACCTGAGTGGCTGCCCTTTGAGGCACTTGTGGCCGAACTTTGAATAAAGCATTTTCATTTTGTACCTCTGTTGGGAAAGGTTATAATATTCAGGCTCACCTGATGAATATTTCAATAAGATTTCTAAATGCTGTTGTGGTATTTATGTGGGGGCCGGGGGGCATGTGCAATTTCATTGTGTTTTTATGCAATGGCAATAAAATGAAGCTAAAAACAAGTGAGCAAGAACGTAAGTGGTCTTCAGAAATCCTGAAACTGCATCCAAACTAATATAATGCCATGGCATTTTCATAGTTTTTTTTTAATTAATTTTGTCGTTAATGTGTAATGTCATTATTTTAATGTGGGCGTCTTGAAACAATGGTGGCACAACAAGGGAGAGTGCACAGCAAGTCAGACCCAACTAGGCTGCTCCATGTTTCGGCAAAACAAAGTAAGGAGAGCAAAGTGTCGTCATAGACAATTTAGAACTAAACAATAATGTAGATAAGTTGAAAGTGAATGGAGTGAGGTTTTTTTTTTTTTTTTTTTTTTTTTTAAATTTTTTTTTGGGGGGGGGTTTTTTTTTTTTTTTTTTTTTTTGTTAAACTGTCTTTTGGAGGCGGCATTTTTAGCCCCCGGACTTACCTTTTAACTGAGCTGCTTTCACTTGTTAAGTTTTCTTTACCGCTCACATTATATTGCTTGAGACAAATGAGTTAACTGGAGTTACTTCATTTTGTTGCAGTTGGCTTGTGTGTTTGAATGTGAAGAGTTTTGGCTCCGGTGCTCAAGCAGTAATTATCCCATCAATTAATCGGATAAAAATTGTTTTTGCATAATAAAACAATAAAATGCGCGTGTGAGATGCGGGTGTTGCCATCATCATGTTCACAACTGAACTTGGGGATCCACAGAGTAACAGTCTGTGTGCACAATTGAACACTACGAAGCTTTGGGGCAGATATTTTTCGCTCTACACTTAGTAATCAAATCAAACCCTGATTGATTGATATTGCTTTATTCATCCCTTGAATTGATTTTAATTTTGCGGATTAGTTATATATTGGTAATTGCTCCCCACACACAGTTGCATAAAAGTCATCAATGTGAACCACTACAGTAACCCTGAGACCTTTTTAGAGGTTGCACTATATATTTGGGAAAAAAAAAAAAAACATTTCAGATTACCGGTAGCAAATTTGTAGCCACTGAACTGGACACCAGGTTTACAACGGCTGGGGGTTGTCATTGTGACAATTTTGGATAATGGTGGCACTTAACCAAATGTGAGCACTGAGCTTGCGTCATCAACCTTGAGCGTCACAGATATCGTTTCTGTTTTCCAGTTGAGACAAATGAAATAGCACTTCTGCGGTGACTTCGTGGAATTGTCGGTTCAAGTGCGTACATACTGAAAAGTTATTTGCTTTCGTAGTGGAATAAGTTAACCTGTCAATAGTTGTGAGGTGATTTATTACAACCACCAGAACCCAGTTTATAGGTATTGCTGTTTCAGTAGTTGCTTGGTAAAATGCCGTAGAAGCCCGTGACAGCCAACAATGTCTGTTTTTGTGTTCTGGATGTGAACTTGCGGAGAAGCGCATTGGACTAATGTACGGAAGGACTCGGCTGTACAAACAGTAAACGCAATCTAATTGCAACCACGGCTTCTAAATAGCCTTGTTTTGTGGCGTGTTTGTCCCAGGTGGTACCATGGCAAGCTAGACCGAACCATTGCTGAGGAGCGGCTGCGCCAGGCTCGGACCCATGGCAGCTACCTCATCAGGGAGAGTGACCGCCGGCCCGGTTCCTTTGTCCTGTCTTTCCTCAGCATGACCAATGTGGTCAACCACTTCAGGTAAGTTTCCGCACGTGCGTAGAATGGACACTCTGTGGCACATTCTCCTCTTCAGATTTTTCTCTTCAAAATGATGAATTCTTATACTGTACTCCAAAAACCATTCTTCTTAGAACAGCGTGGTAAAAAATTGCCAAGAGTGAGCCAGAACTATTGGTTAAGGTTACATTAGTATCTGTCATAGATAACAAATAACTTGAAATTCAGCTAAAAAAAATACATCTAAGTGAAACAAATTACTGCTGGATTATTATTTTTTTGCCATATATCAATCGTGCACGTTTTGGAGCATTCCATGTAATGGGTGGCACAATAATGTACTTTGTACATGCAGTAGATGTCTTGCGGTGTAAATATCAAGTCTCAAAACTCAAGGTCATACTATATTTTTCTGTTGACCATATTTTCCACCCGTCATTTTGGCAACCACAAGTGATAGCGCCTTAAATTCGATTCTAAACCCTGTCATGTAGCTCGCATATATTGCACAAACATTTTGTTGCATTTAATCATAATAAGTTTCTGTGGGGGCAGCATGGCATCGCGGCAAAGTGCTCGTTTCCCAGCCCAGAGGTTGGTGGTTCCATCCCCGGCCGGCCGTTGTGACCATGTCGAAGTGTCCTTGAGCAAGACACTGAACCCCCAATTCCTCCTGATGCCACGTCTTCGATATGTGAATGAGGTCACAGAGTAAAGCGCTTTGAGTACCCGAAGTAGAAAATCGCTATACAAGTGTCAGCCCATTTACCATTTAAGAAAACCACCGAAACTGAGGGGGTGACACGGCAAGGAAGTTTCCGGTGGACTCTAGACATTTTTGTGTCAAGCTGACATTAATTGTGTCTGAGAATGTGTGCAGTATTTACTAAGATTTCATTTTGTTATTCTACCCAATTGTCTCGGTATTGTACCCTTCACTTCAGCCTTTTTATTTATTTATTCATAAAAATGTCATGACCACCATTTCTAAGAACTGAAAATGCGGCAAACCTTTTGCCATTGATGTTTTTGAATAAAAAGTAGAAGAGGAAGGTGAACTTCTGTTGGCTTTCGTTCGTGAGCTTTTATTTAAAGTGAAACTCGGCTATCCGTGGGAGACCGAGCCCTGCCGCGAATAATGAAAATCAGCAAGTAGTTGACAGCCACCCAACACGATTTGTACTTTTTCCCCATCAGCCAAAGCCATGGTGCAAAAATGGAGGAAATAGGTGAGTTTTTCAGTCCGTAACGGAGGATAGGTTCCGAATCTATGAAAGCCAAACCACAATTAAGTGTGTGTGTGTGGGGGGGGGGGGGGGGGGGCTCTGTCTCTTTTCCCACCTTTGAGAGATTAGTTTGTTCTTTGGAGAAACGATGCTGTTCTAATTAAGTATCCGTGACTTCATGTGTTTTACTCATTGCATTCATGTCAGGCCATGATGTAATTATTGCCGGGGGGGACACAAAAATGGCCCTGCTAAAGGGATTATGAGCATCAGGTGAATTGCATGAAACTTCAAATGGTTGATGTGCTTAGATGGCCCATGAATCAAACTGGTAATTGCACTTTATTTTAAACACAATCAAATAATTGGCTGCTGTTTAATGGATGAATACATTCTCAGCCCCCCCCCCCTTTTTTTATGCCATTGCAAACATCCACTACTTACGGTATACTGTCGATCATAGTACTTATTTCTACCACATTTCTGAAGCAGGCAAACTGGTAAACATTACTACTATGTTCCGATGATCAAATACTGTTTCACTGACTGTTCTCGTTGTTGTTGTGTTCTCGTTTCAGGATAATTGCCATGTGTGGGGACTATTACATAGGCGGGAGGCGGTTCTCTTCCCTATCAGACCTAATTGGTTACTACAGCTACGTGTCTTGCCTGCTCAAAGGAGAAAAGCTGCAGTGGCCTGTGGCCCCTCCAGAGGTGAGACCATCACCGAAATGTAGTTGACATTGTGCAAGAATATCAGAAGCGAGCTGAACTGCATTCAGACACTTGACATTCAGTAGAGCAATTTGAGTAATTTGCAAAACTATTAAATGTAACATCGTAAATGTCACATTCAGAAGGAGAGAATCTAATTTGATGTTTTTTTTTGTTTTTTTTTAATCTCTTTGCTTAGCCTGTAGAAGACAGGAGGAGAGTAAGGGCCATACTGCCATACACCAAAGTGCCAGATACTGATGAGATCAGGTAAGCATTCAAACGTGTCTTGCACATGTAGTGTAAATACCGGTATGTGAAATTTGGTTTCATGACAGCAATACAAACCTCAAATGCGGTCAAAGCCCGACCCCTGCTGGTTAGTTCATGATACATCACAAATACAGTACCAGGAAGTGGGTTAGTGGGGATGATTCAGTTTAAAAAAAAAAAAAGTGTAACCCGTACTATTTTATGTCACATAGTCCCTCTTGCACCATGAAACCTTTTGACCAAATCCGTCTCCAGCTTCCTGAAGGGAGACATGTTCATCGTTCACAACGAACTGGACGACGGCTGGATGTGGGTGACTAACGTTCGTACGGAGGAGCAGGGCCTCATCGTGGAGGATTTGGTAGAGGAGGTGGTAAGCGCATCCTACATCAATTCAGTGTACTATACTCAAGAAGAAAAATATTAAGCTGGACAGCAAACATCACGGGACTGAAACTAATAGCAAAAGTGACTTGGTGGCGTCGGCATTCAAAGACCTACAATATGACAGTTGCAAACTGTTGACCACTTTCTCTTCTCATCTCTAGTGCCGGGAAGAGGATCCACATGAGGGAAAAATGTAAGTGATTGAATTATTTTAAGTTTGGCATTCATGGCTGAATGTTAATAAACCTGATTGATGCTATTCATGTTGGCTCCTCCACAGCTGGTATCATGGAAAGATCACAAAACAAGAGGCCTACAACCTCCTGATGACGGGTAAAACGCGTTCACTCAATGTGATGTAAAAAAAAGTGTCATTGCAGTATAATCAATTTGGAGATCATTATATCCTGGTAGATTTGACCACTAAATTGTCCCTTCTCTCCCACTCATGCACAGTTGGCCAGGTGTGCAGTTTCCTCGTGCGGCCGTCAGACAATACACCTGGGGACTACTCCCTTTTTTTTCGCACCAATGAAAACATCCAAAGGTTTAAGATCTCTCCCACCCCCAACAACCAGTACATGATGGGAGGGAGGTACTACAACAGGTTTGTGTTGACCTGCGCTCACAATCATCATCATCTTCATCTAAAAATGTGTGTAAATGCGCGTCTTCATTTGCGCTCTCATTCGTTAGTGTCGACGACATCATCGACCATTACAAGAAGGAGCAGATTGTCGAGGGTTACAACTTGAAAGATCCGGTTTCAGTACAGGTAGGGACACACGGATGTGGAATGTTGAAAACAAGAATTCGCCTCAAAAAAACTTTATTTAAAATGAGAATTATTTTGTTATGAGATTCAAAATAATGGCGTTAACCTCACTTATCAACGATATAATCAATAGTTTGATGGGTGTCTGGTCGTAATGACGCACCTCGCGCTTGTTTTTAATCAGCAGCAAGAACAAGTCATCAGCGACACGGTGGATGGGAGAGAAATTTACAACACAATCAGACGAAAAACAAAAGATGCGTTCTACAAAAACATAGTCAAGAAAGGCTACCTCCTCTTCAACAAAGGTGCGTCGCACGAATAGTATTTCGACGGCCCAAACGTTATATCTCCCCCGCTGTTGGGATTCAATTGTCTCTAATTTGAATACTTGCAGGCAAAGGCAAACGGTGGAAGAACCTGTACTTTATCCTGGAGGGTAACGATGCCCAGCTAATCTATTTTGAGAGTGAGAAAAGAGCCACCAAACCCAAAGGGCTGATCGACCTAAGTGTGTGCTCCGTCTATGGTGTTCACGACAGCCTCTTTGGCAGGTAAGGTGTGCGGGATTTAGTGAGGCTGTTTGGAGATGCTATCAGGTTAAACGATGTTCTTCTTTTCTTTTTTTTTTCTTTTTTTTTTATTGCTCATTTTCAGGCCAAACTGTTTCCAGATAGTTGTCCAGCACTTTAGTGAGGAACAATACATTTTCTACTTTGCCGGGGAAGCTCCTGAACAGGCACAGGTATTAAAAAAAAAAAAAAAAAAAGGGCTTTGGTTGATTTCAACAAAATACGGTTGATTGCGAGTCTTGTTAGTTGTCTGTCTTTGCTCATCTTCAGTGCAAAGTGAATGAATAGGAGGTATGGTCCAATGTATTGGTAGAAAGTCCAATGCAAGTGCAGCAATGAGGTCATCTGACTCCCATTTTCTTAGTGGGGCAAGGAAATGATGGTAGGAATGTCATTGCAACCGGTCTTTCATTTGAAGTCTGAATCGCAACTTCTGCCTTAGGTGAGCAGCCTGGTGCTTTATGTGGAGGAGGCCCATAAGCTGCCGGTGAAGTATTTCACCAACCCTTACTGTAACATCTACCTGAACAACGTCCAGGTGGCCAAAACGCACCCAAGGGAGGGGCCGAACCCCGTCTTCACAGAGGAGTTCATTTTTGAGTGCGCCTCCTTTTTATGCTTCACATTGGAGTTGCTTCTTTTCCTGGCTCACTAAAATTGAAAAATCGTGTTTGTCTTTTCGCAGTGACCTCTCGAGTGAAATCAACAGGTTTGAGATCAGCCTGAGCAACAAAACAAAAAAGAGCAAAGAAAGTGACATCCGTACGTCCATCTGTTGGTTTGAAGACCAATTTTGTAGTCTTGGCCTATTTTGTTCTCCTCATCTTTCCAACTTTTGCTGTTTCGGTTCTGTCCCTACTAGTATTCATGCGTTGCCAGCTAAGCCGTCTGCAGAAGGGACAGATGATTGACGAGTGGTTCCCTCTCAGCTCCCACGTGCCGCTGAAGGGCATCGAGCCAGGCTCTTTACGTGTGCGCGCACGCTACTCAATGGAGAAGATCATGCCCGAAGAGGAGTACAGCGAGTTTAAAGAGGTCAGAACCACTGCCATTCACACCGACTAGTCCATACACTCTTCACCGTGACTGCATGTTTGTGTGTCCTCCTGTAGATGATACTGCAAAAAGAGTTCCATGTCATCTATGCACTGGCCCACGTGTGTGGTCAGGACCGCACCTTACTGGCAAGCCTCCTCCTGAGGATCTTCAGACACGAAAAGGCCGAAGCTCCTCTTCTCAGGACTCTCAATGACCGAGAGATTTGCATGGAGGGTAAGACAATAAAAGTGAAAAATGCTGCGTAGATTCGTCATGACCACTCTTTATATTGAAGCTGAGCGTGCCTTTAGGAGATAACTAACAATTGTGAATGTAGTTCAATCCTGATTACAGTGGTGCCTTGATTCGATTCGTTCCAAGACCAAATCTGGAAACTCAATTTTAATTGTCCAGTGGTGCCTTGAAATGTGCGCATATAACTGGACTTATGGCCAATATTTTGCATTGAGATATGAACACTGTATGGTGGCGGTGAACTCAAATCAAGGTTGGCAGTTTGTCCGGAGGTATGTGTCAATTACCGGTTTGACGGCTTACCGTGGTTTTAAAAAAATCAAGATTTCAATAACCTGTCTGTCATCGGTGATGAGCTTAGGCGACTCTAAGCGGGGCGCAATGTGATTGGTGTCCTGCAGAGTTGAGTAAACTAGCTGCCTCTTTGAATTGAGGCCAGGGGCTTTTTTTGTTCCCTCCTTCTCATGAGCAGAGAGGGGAGGGGTGAGCATTTACACTGTAGGAGGAGAGGGAGCAAGACGAAAGAGAGGCACTGCACAAACACACATGCATATTTTTCATTGTCCTAAAAAAACAACAATTCTGCCAGTGGTTTCGAGTCATCCCCAGAAGGACAACATGAGTAGCCTACCAGTCTGTTGTAAAAATAGCTCAACAATGATGGGACAGTGTGACTTATTAACAAGCATTAGAAGAGAAAGTTAACATTTATTTTTTTTCAAAGCCTGTTTTTATTTCCCCAAATATTTCAAAAAAATAACATTTTAGAACTGTAATTGTAATACCAACATTCTGTGATAGTTCTTGCTCCTCCAACAGTTCAGAATCTACATTGCAGATAGTGGCTAATACCTCAAAAGAGAGACTTCGAGCTGTTTGACTCTCCCAGTTCAAGGATAATGTCAAACTAAACATCAAACCGAGAGAATTAATTCCTTTTTTTTTTTTTTTTTTTAAACAACCACATTGCATTACTTTAAATAAATCTGCATCATGCTAACAGCCAATGCCAAGTGCCATAGCATTTGTGTCACGGTAAAAGCGCATCAGTCAGTGTGTCTCTCCCTTTTTTTTTTCCTCCCACTTAATTCAAGCTTGCAAGTAAATAAGACAAATTCTAATCACAGAATTGCCTTTGTGGCCACCATGAACCAGTTTGGTCTGAGCTAGCTCTCTCTGCTTGTGGACAGATGAAGCCACAACGTTGTTCCGGGCGACCACTCTGGCCAGCACTCTGATGGAGCAGTACATGAAAGCCACGGCGACGCCGTTTGTCCATCACGCTCTCAAGGACACCATTCTCAAGATCATGGAGAGCAAACAGTCCTGTGAGGTAAATCTGACGTCCCCTTTGACTTAAAGTGAGTCAGGATTGCAGACGTTTTCTTTGCAATTATCCATTCACCGGCCACAACATTCGGTATAGCTACCCAAGCTAAGAAAAGCTCAAACGGAACCGTTGACCACGACTGGATGATAGAGGTACTAGAAATGGTGTACCGAACAATCAAAAATAGTGATAATAGGCAATAATGATACTGATCAAATGAATACCCCTCCGGTCGTTTCAGTGATCTGAGCATTAGTATCTTGTTGTTTTTTTTCTTGATGCATCTCTGCTTATTAGCTTGTGCCAAGTGTACCTAAATAAAGTCACCGATGAGCATTAGTATCTTGTTGTTTTTTTTTTTTCTTGATGCATCTCTTCTTCTTAGCTTGTGCCAAGTGTACCTAAATAAAGTCACCGGGGAGTGCATATCATTAACCTTCCATTTTTGCAATTCACACTAATTTAGCACAATGATGTCAGGATACAGAGACGTCAAGCACTACTTCTGCACAAGATTTACGTGGAAAGACTATTCACTTCTGAAACAGTACTGTCATGAATGCACAATCAGTCGGTCCAGTTTTATCCAGTTCATTCATGACATTGTACCTCAATGCGTCATCCACTCAAACATCAATCTTACAAGCTACATTAATTGTACATGATGCAGGAGCTGTTCCTAAATTTGTCACTCATCCCGTCGCATGACATGACGTTTTGCCTGGTTTCCATCCGTCTCATTTCAAGTTGAACCCCTCCAAACTGGAAAAAAATGAGGATGTCAACCTGAACCTGGCTCACCTCCTCAATATCCTGTCAGAACTGGTCGAAAAGATCTTCATGGCTGCCGAGATCCTACCACCGTAAGCGCACAGATGACTTTTATAAAGTGCACCATTTTCATGGTTGAGCTTCAACAGCGCAAAGGCGATGTCCCGAGGGAGTCACCTAACGCTTATTATTATCATCGTTCCAGGACGCTAAGATTCATTTATGGCTGTTTGCAAAAATCCGTGCAGCAGAAATGGCCAACTAATACCACCATGAGAACCAGAGTTGTAAGGTAAACATGAAAAAACATTTTCTTACTTGATTATTGTTGATGAAAATAAGCGTATTGCTGCTCACTTTGCCTCACTGAATTGAAAACGTGTGTCATGCGGTGCTTAAAACTGTTATTTGATGAACATAAAGAAAGTACAAGATTTTCACAGATCTGATTGAGGGATTAACTTCATGTCACTTAACCATTACTTTTTTTTTTTTTGGTAGCACGTAAAGGAAATAAGGCATTTACAGATGGTTTGCATTTTATCGCTAAGATCACCTTTTGTTCTAATGTACGTCTCTTTCTCATCGTTTATCTTGAAGCGGGTTCGTCTTTCTAAGACTCATCGGTCCTGCAATCCTCAATCCAAGAATGTTCAACATCATTGCTGGTGAGCAGCCATCCAAAGCCACACGTCTGCTTCCTGCTCTTTGAGCGTATTTTCCTTTTGTATATGGCTGCTTGTACCGTCCGTCCAATAAACAGCTGAGCATGATTCCGGTCTGTTACGTTTCTTTCCTCTTGCAGATCCTCCGTCTTCAACAGCGGGCAGGACCCTCACACTGGTGGCAAAGTCTGTTCAGAACCTTGCCAACCTGGTGGAATTTGGTGCAAAGGTATGAGACGTCTGCCTGGAATGTCATTGACAGTATGGAATCGTCTGATAATGTGCCATTGCGTCCACACACACACACACAGGAGCCTTATATGGAGGGTGTGAATCCGTTTATCAAAAACAACAAGCATAGGATGATCATGTTCCTGGATGAGTTGGGGGTGAGTACCGTTTTTTTGGAGTTTCCAGTAAATTTCCCTGGGGAATTAAGGTGGCGGGGGATAGACAGCCATGCCGCCAATAGCACACAATCAACCGCCGCGCTCTTCAAGAGTTGCTGTCGGACTTTGTTTGCAGAATGTTCGTGATCTTCCTGAAACCACAGAGCACTTTAGGACGGACCTGTCCCGAGACCTGGCTGCATTGCACGAGCTTTGCGCCGCACACTCAGATGAACTTCGGACGCTGAGTAATGAGAGGGGGGCTCAGCAGGTGAGAGATGACTTGTGTGTCCCTTTGCCAACACTAAACTATATTAAGTCGGGTAGAGCAATTTTGGAAAAGAGTTTCATTGCAAAACATGTGGGAAAGGTAGGCACGAACTCACAGGATGTTAACGGGTGTCTTTTTTTTTTTTTTCGTTTTCCCATGTGCAGCATGTGTTAAAAAAGCTGCTGGCCATCACGGAGCTCCTCCAACAGAAGCAGGCTCAGTATGCCATGTCCAACAGCAACAGGTAGTACAGCATCAACCCACATCCTACTCCACTCCCATCTCCCTTCCCGCTTATGACAAGTCTCCCGCACTGGGGGTGCTGCACTGGGGAGACCTCGCATGTTCTACCCCCATCTCCATGGCAACCCCATCCACGCCTCATAACGTCATTGTCCGATAGTTCCCCGCCCCTGCCACCCATTCCCATCCATGTTGTCCCATTCACCGTGAGAGCTATGCAACAACAGCTGAGTACAACCAATGCAGTACTTAACTGGCACCAGTGACTGACAGCTGCCTGCACAGGACAAACTCCCCCCTTTCTCGTTTTGAACTGTGTGAATGAGTCCAACTTTGGGTACAATCAGTTCCCTTGCACATAAGGGACAATATTTGGATTCTGAAAGGTTTCTCAGTACTCGCCAGCCTTCTCTAGCACAAATTGCCAAAGTGTACCCCCTTCCCGCTTCGTATGAGGAAACTGACATGAAGAAGCTAGTTGTGTCTTTTGTTGAAACTGGACTGCGAGCAAGGATGCTTTTATACTGTAAGTAGTGACTGACTTCTTTTCAAGTTTGTGACATAAGGCCACGTGCCGAAACGAGCGTGGTTCTTTTTTCCGTTTGTTTTGTTCAATTTTCTAGATTGAAACGGTCTTTTGCGGAAAACAAAGTCTGGTTATTTTATACAAGAATAAATTCTCTTGCTGGAATCATGAGTATATAAGAGAGATGAGCTGAATTCTTCTCCCCTCAGATTGTATCAGCTGTTTTGATTGTTGGTTAAGTTTTTGTTTTTCCCTTCCTCCAAATTTTGCAATCCGGGCAAAAAAAAAAAACATATCTGAGAATCCAAGTATGATGCAAAGTGTTTACAGCAGATTTTTTTGGAAAATAGTACAGACTGTATCAGACATGCATGCACTTATTAAACAGTTTTTGTATGTAAAGTAGTTGATGGGCTTGTTCTTTGTCATATTAAAGACAGGGTGTATAAAAATACATTTTATTTGTAACGCACAATGCGAGCAAACCAATAACACTACCGGTAAATGCATTTGATGTCTTTAGATTGGTCAGTTTGAAGGCGAATGGTCATACGAGGTCTTCATCTGTCCACTCCTGTGATTAAAAACATATTTAAAGACAAAAAGCGGATTTAGAACCATGCGAATCCATCGTGTCGAACATGGTCTCACCTCTTCTCTTATTCGCGGCTCTTTTGCTACATAGCCTTCCTCCTCGTAGCCCCGCTTGCGTTTGCTGTCACACACACAATAAAAAAAATTAACAGTGACTGCCCTGTGACATTATGAATATGCTGGACTTGTTAAGCTCTACGATCAGTGTTTGTGACCATACACCCTTGCACTTTCATCGATGCAACCTTAGATAGTCGTTTTCATTCGTAGTAGTAGTTCCTCCCACGTCATATCAAGTAAGTAAATTGGCTAGATGCAGTGTTTTCCAACCTTTATTGAGCCAAGGCACATATTTTCCTCTCAAATACTCACTCAGCACGCCACCAAAGAAAAAGTCGATACACAGGTTAATAATATACTGTGCACCATTTCCTGGTAGAGCATTTATTAGTTCTGCCTGTCACTATAAGACGCTGACATAGATAGTTTGAACGACGATACATAATTTCAATCATTTTTCAAGCAATTACGTGGCAATGGATAATTTCCCGTGACGCTGGTTGGGAATCACTGCACTAGAGTAGCAAATCCGCTCACATTTTGAGGGTGTGTACCTTTCCCAATGTGTCCACTTTATCTTCCAGGACAGAGTGCACCATCATGTCACTGGCGGCCGCCATCCAGGTCATGTGAATTCCGTGGAATCACACCTGAGAGTACAAGTGCCAGCCAGAAAGAGCAAGGCCTTGTCCGAGCCTCAACTTAATTCTCAGCATGTGGCCTACTATCTCCATAGTTCCAATGCAATATGGCTGCCCCCCACTGAGAGCAGAGGGGGTGGATGGAAACACATTTGCTGCCTATGTGAACATTTTCCTTCCAAAGCTGTTCCCAAATATGCTTTAGACACAGTGCTGCCACGATTGATGATGGGATGGACCTGAGCTACAGTCAACTGCAGAACTGTTTGAACTTGGGTATGAACATAAGCGTGAGGGGGAGGGGGGGGCGACCAAAGCACTGAAGTAGCGTCATCAGGGAGTTTGAACACGAGACTACACAAGCCTTAAAGTCCCCTTTCTACACACCATCCACCCCCCGACCTTTTTTTTTTATATGCTGCTTTGTCGATGGAGAATCCAAATGTATTTGTATGATGTAGCTAAACGGCAGAAAGGTAGAGTCTTTGTTGAGGAGACGTGTGTGTAACCTGTCTTGTGCATGTGTTAATCCTGCTACATAAACGCCGCTTTAAAGAACTAAAAGCCAACGGTTTGCTCAAAAGCAGGGTACACGTGTACCGATTTTTAACTCTTAACAAGAGAGCCTACACATGGGGTGGGGGGTAAATTGCTACTAGACTGAGCAGTGGGTATCCAAACTGTCAGAAAATCCAAAGAGGTAGTTTTAGCATGGTTGTATTGGAAGAAAACACAAGGTGCTAGGGTAACAGTTATTTTGCGTTGTGTAAACTTTGGCTGTTCATTCATGACTCTAATCCAGCGGCTCTGTAAGTACAGCCGTCATGACTAATATTAAAATAACGGTCATAGGCCCAAGTGTTCCATTAAAAACAGGGCAGACATCTCATAATATCTAATATTAGTGTAAGCCGCTGTGACATTATGCCACACTTAACCATAGAAAAATACAATTAGAATGCACATAATCATTCAAAATTGTATCAAAAAGATCAAATAAATGCAACTGTATTGTACTAAAAAGTGAAATACAACTAAGCTGTAGTTGAATTCACTGTACTGTGAAAATAACTCGCATTATACAGTTTGCACATTTAATAATTAAGTACCACTAGAGGGAGCACTCGTACTACATTTTGAAAATTAGTGCCCTAATGCCTGTACAGGTAGTATTTCCCCCCCCACCCTCCATAGTTGGACTATATAAAGTTATCAGTCAGTCACATTAGAAATAGTTTGGGATCACTCCTTGTGAATGACATTAAAATTGTCAGTATGCGTGTACCCTGCTTTATCTGCAATCTCTCGCTTTCACTCTTGGGAGCACACCACTGCATCTCTCTTCCACACAAGTAATCACACCACACTTGGGGGTTGCAAAGGGGGGGGTGAGGGGTAATTTCCTCAAAATGTTCCAAGGAATTTTGAAGCTAGTCTCCAACTTTCCCAACCCCGCACACCTTGCTGGTCGTAGTCTGGCCTGGCCTCCTTGTCTGAATCCGTGCCTGTCATGTAGCGTAGCTCAAAGTGTGCACGTAATGACACCACCGAGCTCACCAAGTGTCAACGGGCGAGATAAGACCACCGCCAGTTACGGAAGACCCGACGGCTGTGGTGTGTCGTACTGGTACTTTCTTGTTATTTCATACGCTCAATGATGTGTTCCTTTTTATTTTTCTACCTGAAACTGAAACCTTTGAACCTTTTTGCATCTTAGATACGACAACCTGGCAAAAATAAAATTGTTGTGACGCAAACATGGAGTGGTTTCACTGGGCCGCTGAGGGTGGAAACTGCTCTCAAGGATGCAAATATAGGAAACATCCACATCTCTTAACGTTCCGTGCTTCGTGGCAGTCAAGATGATCCTTACTTGTTTGAACTTGTACCAAATTCCACGTGGATCCTTGCCAGTTTCTGCTTACACGCATTCACCTCGTCCGGTTTGGGAAGTTCGTATCGTTTCAGGAGGCTTTTGATCCCTACAGCGGGCAGAGGAAGCGTGCAGGTTCACAGAACTTGGGAGAGGATGCAACGTTACCATCTCGCGGTGGGTTACTCACGTCTCATCGAGTCATACATTTTGGACAGCGTTTCTTGCTCATTCTTGAGCCCCAAGCATTCAGTCAGATAGCTATCAAACAAAACATTATCACATCAGGCCCTTTTTTTAAATGTTTGTAAACAATAGACAGGAGGCTACTTTCTTCCATTTCTGATACACGGAACCAAACGCTGCTCCCCATGTTTCAAACTTGCCTACCTCTCTATGTTGAGGCCAGCTCTTGATGCACTGCTTAGGATAGCAGTGAGTGCAATCTGTGAGGGGGAAAAAAGCAGCCCCGCGTCTGTCATGGCCGCATATGCCAAAAAGTCATCCACACTCTTCCTCAGGGACTCTGGGTTTTCCAGGGTAGGATATCTGGTCTGGACGGTGAGAGTTGGGGATAAAGTTAGTCATACACAAAACTGGTGCTTCCCAACCACTGTGCTTGGTTTTCATGACATGGCAGAAAGTCCAATTTACTTGTGTTTCCACCGGTTGTCATACATTTATGCCAATTTAAGGAGGTTTGCATCTAACAGTTGGCCCACCTTGAGGTCAATGAGCAGCCCCTCCAGAGGTCTGTAGGGATTGTGGACCACCAGGTGGAAGTTCAGTTGCTGGACAAGCAGCAGCTCGTACTCCAGAATCTGCTCCGAAACGCGTTCCTGTTCGGCCGGACTCTCCTGCACAAGGTTGCCCACAAACTGGCTGCTGGATACGTTAAACTCGTCCACCTTGCAGGCTAGATATGAACATGTCAGCCTGAGAAAGCGAGGGGGGAAAAAAAGGATGTAAATTGCTTCGGGCAAGTAAAACATTCTAACAACGTCACCCTCAATCCAATTCAAACTGCACAGGGGGTGGTGCCAGCATATGACATTTTGAGGTTCCAAACTAAATTGACCATTGGTGTAAAAATACAACTACATCGCAGTTCAGCATTCACCCCCCCCCCCCC